GTGTGTTTCACCTATAAGACTTTAAAGACTCAGACATGAAGTACGTGTGTGTTTCACCTATAAGACTTTAAAGACTCAGACATGAAGTACGTGTGTGTTTCACCTATAAGACTTTAGAGACTCAGACATGTAGTATGTGTTTGTGTGTTGTACTATTTACTAATTGTGAGCATAAGTGTACCTTTCAGGAGGTATAAAAGTACAAATCTGTCACTTTGTGATTGTCTCTGTGTCACAAAGACAAGTCTGAACTGCCTTCTCAGGTGTTTTCTTTCCCCAAATCTGCCTGTCCAGCGCTGGGGCTCCCAGGCTGTAGTTCCGCCTTCCTTTTTATTTTGAAAAAAACCCGGAAGTTAAGTGTTCAATAGGTGGGAGTTGTGTTATTTTGGAAGTGTTCGGTGCGGAAGCGGCTCTGCTGTCGAGCTGCGGGAGGGGCGGGGCGAAGGGGGGGAGGCGGGAAGGGGCGGGCGGCTCGTGCCCAGCGGGGGGAGTCACCGCTGGAAGGAGGAAGTTTGCCCCGTTCGAGTCGACGGGCCGCTGGGATGCGACGTGGAGGAGACACCGCTGGGTGAGTTCGAACGTCCACCGAACCTCCGGGGGGGGGGGGGAGTGTTTGTTTTCCGGCTGCACCGTGTCCGCTTAGTTGCACTTTGTGGTACGCTGTCACAAAAAGCGGGTAAAAAAAAGGAGGAAACCAAGTTGTTTTTTTGCTCGGACTCTCGGGGAGCATGTAGGTGGGCACCGAAGAGAAACTTTAGGGGAACTAAGAGAACAGCTCTTCCACTTCTCATGTCGGACAAAGCGACCCTGGTTGTGACACGAAACCGGGTCAGAAGCAGAACCCGGGTGGTCCAGTTTGGGGAGGGTCGTGTCAGAGAAAGTAAAGACTCCTCCAGACTCACCTGGTTTTGCTCACCTGCTGAAGTTGAGATGGCTGTTTCGGAGCTGGCGAGCAGCAGGAGTCCCAGGATGAGAGACTAGAAGAGAGAAAAACAAGAGTAGGAAAGCCTGAATCACGGCCCTGGTGCTGTGAAACGGAAAAGCAGACTATGGTGGCGAGGTGCCTGGAAAACCACCGGAGAGGGAATTGTCTTGTGAAAGGGAGCTCACAGGGATGTGGGCTGAGTGCAGCCTCCAGGCGGATAACAGCAGTGGTGCTGGGGGGGGGTCACCCAGTGGCCTTTATGTCCCTTTGGCCCCGTCCAGAAGCAAAAACAGCATAAAGACAGTGGCACAATACAGTAGAACCTCTACAGTGGTGTGAAAAAGTGTTTGCCCCATTTCCTGTTCCTTTGCATGTTTGTCACACTTAAGTGTTTCAGAACATCAAACCAATTTAAACAATAGTCAAGGACAACACAAGTAAACACAAAATGCAATTTGTAAATGAAGGTGTTTATTATTAAAGGTGAAAAAAAAATCCAAACCATCATGGCCCTGTATGAAAAAGTGATTTCCCCCACTTGTTAAAACATACTATAACTGTGGTTGTGCACATCTGAGTTCAATTTCTCTAGCCACACCCAGGCCTGATTATTGCCACACCTGTTCACAATCAAGACATCACTTAAATAGAAGCTGCTTCTGTACATGCGAATTCAATTATTTCCGGGGCTTACTTCGTATGTTAAAATATTCTAATCTTGATCCAAATATTCCCACAAGAAAACACTGTAATTCGTATAATTCGTTCCACAGCCCCAAAAATCTACAATAACTCCTTAATAAATTCTGCAGATGATTACACACAGCAATAAAACAAGTGTATTATATAGGAGAGATGTAAAAATAAATCAATTATGAATAAATAATACGTAAAAAGGGTTTTTTATTGGCACTTTACCTTAGAGACTGGCGAACGGAGGTAGAGGTGGTGACTGAGATACAGAATGTACCGCAACCTACTCTAACTTTCTCCAGGTGAAGTTTAATCTAACTTAGCTTATTTATTTTTATTGAATTTTTATATTTTATATACATTTTTCTCTGACTATGACATATGTTGGAAAATTACTTGGGTGTCGAGTCAAATATTTGATCAAACGGTATGTTGGAAATTGGTTTGTTTAGGCAATTGTAAGTAGAGGTTATACTGTATATACAAACAGAGGCAGCGTGGGTCAGTGCAGGTCACCTGTTAACATAAGACGAAGCAGCTATTTCCACTCCATTTGGTTACTGGACATGATCAGTATGATCAGGACACGTGTGTTTGGTTCATCGGCACGGCCACTCATGGAGTGGACCCCCCTTCCACACAGTCCTTGTGGTCCAAAATTAGTTTGTCTGTGCTTGTGGTGTTCAGGAGCAGCTGTTTGCTTTGGGGTGGGGGACAGTGGTTGTACCCTCAAAGCAGGCAGGACGACAGGCTGCCTCTGCGAGAGGTCAGGCGGGCCGGTGAAGGCCACAGGCCGCTGACCAGCACTACACAGCATGTGGGGGCCGCTGTTGGGTCCCAGTGCTTTTTAAAAGCCATTCTCTTCTTATGGGCATTGGGCCCCAGGCCAGTTGGTTTTGATTCAGAGAAAAGTCTCATTCAAACCACTGTTGGCTAATTTTCTTTACTAAGATAATCGGTTTGCTCAGATAGTGTCCGGAACATGGAACAAATCCTCCTTTCCACACAAAACTGCTGCACATTCGTATAGAAGTGGTAAAAGTGTGTGTTGACAAAGATTTTAACTAAAAGATCCTCTCAGTTGTGGGTGTTCTGCCTGTCAGCTGGGGCCAACAGGCTCCAGTCAGGAACACATGGAGCATCCCTGACTGTCTCGCCTCTCTTCTCAGTGCCTTACTGTTGGCTCTTCTGGACCGGCCTGGGTTTTTTTCAGCTGAGTCATCACACCAGAGCGCCCTCTGTTCGGACGGTGAGAGGAATCCCGGCAAATGGCCCTAAAGCAGAGTGAGTAAAGCCTCTATCGCACCGCCTGTTTCTAGGTTTCTGCCGTAGCTGAGACTTCCAGAACTAAATTGATGACCGCCTTCTCTCCTGCCTCTGAAACGCCCGTCGTATTGAGCGTGCACGCTTAATGCACCACTGTGCACGCTCTCTACTAAGTGTGCCTTTCGCTCACTGTGATGTGTGAAAAGAAATGTGTTAAGAGCCCACGTTGGTGTTGCAGAGAAGCCAAAAACCTGAGCGAGCTTCTCACGAAAAGTTCAAAATGGAAAACGGGTCTAAACACAGTGAAGTGATCCGGAATGGAGCCTGAGCGGTGGTGGCTGGTTACAGCTGATTCCATACAAACGTGGCGGGGTAGGAAATAGACTCTGCTCCATTCCGCCCTGCAAAGTTGGGTTTGCTCACAGCAGCTTAGGCAGAGGGCAGAAATGAGGAAGTGCTTTCTGTAAATGTCACATATTTCTGCAGGTTAAACAGCTTCCTTAGGAGCCAACTCTGTGAAACAGGCAGCAATTAACTATTCTGATTCTGCTCTCCTGTTGTGATCGCCGATGCCTTTTCCCGGCTGGCCAGCAGAGATGGCCGAAGCCGGCCTCAGTGAGGTGTAGGGCTGTGTACCCTGCTTAAAAAAAGGATTTCTGTGGTGGGCAAATTTAGTCCAACCTCATACCGCTTTTAAGAGATAAATCCCTTTTCAGGCACTTTCCACTAATCATACAACTAAACCACTAGTTAGATATTTTCTCTATATTATCTCTAGTAATCCTCATTTTTATATGGATATGGAATGTGCTGCTGAGCTTATGCTGATCAATATATTTGGGTTATTTGGGATTTTTCTTTTTTGTAATTGTTTTTTGCTAATAGTCTGAAATAGATTCCAAATTCAATTAAAATCAATTCCCCCAGAATGCTTTTGGCCTGTAATAGAAGGTTTCACTAGTCTGCTTTCTTGCCTGTTTTAAGGCAGCTATAAAATGTCCTGTAGTGCCCAGAGATGGGAGTGAGTCTCAAGGCCTGACGCAGTGAGCTTCACACTTCCTGTTTTACCTGGAGACGTTGGGTTATTCCATGTAGGGAGTTTTTCTCCAGCGATGTGGAAGCTAAAATCTGTGTGTGTGCAGCGGTCATGTGCCAGAACGCTGCTGCCTCCACCTAAAATGGCTTTAAGACGAGATCCATCTTCTCTGGTCATTGGGAAACCTCTTCTCACTCATTGGTGACGAGTTTCCTCAACAGGCCCCTGCTTCTCTGGTGGAAATGCGGCTTTACATCTAGAGTTTGCCTTTATTCCGAATCTTTTCAAGCGGCGACAGCCAATAGAAGAAGCTAAAGCTTAAATAGTCTCAGCAGTGTGACAGTATCAACTTGAACTGTTGTGAAGAAGCTGTGCAGCCGGTTAGCTCGTGTCCGATTTAGCTGAATTTGATTTATGCCGCACCAAATCACACGGGGCTCTGCAAGTCGGGTCCGACTTGTCCTTTCATTTACATCACCTCCAAACAGGGTGGTTGGGTCTTTTCCAGCCAGAGGTTCCCGTCTGTCCACTTTACTGCTGCCTGCTTTGAATAAAAGTGGTTAAATACGCTCATCCGTAAACAGATCTGAAAGTTTTCTTGAATGATCAATGAGTGTTTGTCAAGCTGGTAGAATATGCTGGCACTGCTCAACCATAAATCAGATCAGTCAGAGAGATTCCCACACAAGGCTTAAGTGTAAGGCTCCATAGTTTGTGCTCCTCAGCTCTGCTGTTCTATCCCTCTGCAGGTTCTAAGCCTCCTCTGTGCAGCAGAATTCTGCTCTGATCCTGGCCGCTGCCTTCAGCAGGAATGTCCTACTGGTCTGTTGGCCTCTCTCAGGATACCAGGAGGACTGTCAGCGCGATGGAGGAAAGAGGCAGTGAGTGATCTCCAGCACCACTCTTATCTGCGTTTTCAAACTGAGATGAATACCCATCTGAAACAACAGCTTAATTTTAGGAAAGCAGAAGTGAAACCTCCAACGTTTCAGAGGTTTCATCTGTTTCTGTATGCCTGCATGTGTTACCGTGAAGATTGTCAACACGGTTTCATGTCACAGCAAAGTTCTTCTTCCTATGCAGGTTGCTAACTATGGAGGCCTGAAACTGACAGATCAAAGAATAGGAGGGAAAATATAGAAATGGCCCAACGCATAAAGCAATTCACCTGAATTTTGTTGACTCATTTAAAAGATGAAACATAATTTTATATTTGTACTTACATTTTTAATTGTATACCTCTGTTAACATTTTAAAAAAAAGTATATACCATATACACACACACACACACACACACACACACACACACACACACACACACACACACACACACACACACACACACACACACACACACACACACACACACACACACACACACACACACACATATTTCTGTCATAGCTTCCAAAATGAATCACCTGAATCTTCATTGAAAGTATAGCAGATGAGAGCTTTGGGTTCTCTACCGACGCATCTGCTGGTGATTTGCGTCCTGCTTGTGTTTGGCGAACCTAGCTGCCTGCCTATTTACTTAGCTGGGTTAGGCATGTTTTTGGGAGATTTACTACCAGAACCCAGTCCGTGAAGTGGGAGGAAACATTAGTTGTTCCAGTGAAGAGACCTAGGCTGTGGTGTACTTACCGTGACGTATTTTTTGTAAAGGTACATGGATTTGTGCTTATGCAGCGCTTCTCCAGTCAAACGCTTTTAACGCAACATGCCATTCCCCCCACTCACACACACACACACACTTTCACACACAGAGTGTCCTGCTGTGGTGTGGGGGGCTGGTCGTGTGCTCTCCTGAGTATTAGGTTTTCTGGTCAGATATGGAAAGCTCAATGTTTCTTGACGAGGGCATATGACGGTGGTTCCACAGAGAATTAGTTCTACTTCCTGTTGTCCACATTGACACACTCCTGCTAAAGCCTGCATCAACACACAGAGGGAACCAGATCCCCATCAGTCTTTAGCATGTTCCAAAGGACGGGAAGGAGCTGGGCTAACCCTTTGTGTTGGACTTTAACTGACTAAACATGAAATCAGTCCTATGGGTAGTACAATTTTAAAGGAAGATTCCAGAGTAAGTCAAACTTTGTGCTATTTTAGTAGTATATACTGTATTTCATAGACTCATATTTAACTTGAATGTTGTAAAGAATGTGCACGAGGACTAGATTGTGTTGGAAAAGGTAGATTTTATTGTCTTTACCTTTCAAAAACAGCAGAGAAACTATTTTGATGACTTCTCATTTTCAGGTTTATCGGCCCTTCGTGTACATTTGCAGATTCTCATCTGCTAAAATCCTGGGTCTTAAAGTACTAGGTACAGGGACAGTGCTTAATAAGCCGTGGAGCCGATGCAGGACACCTTTCTGCTGTCACAAGACACCCATCTCAGACTTGTGCGAACCATTCAGGGCCGCAGTGTGTTTGAATGTGTTCCATTTAAAATGGGCCCAGGTCATAAATGCTGGACACTTGCTTTAACTAAGCACTCTTGGCTGTAAGTCAGTGAGCTTAAAATGATCCCGGTTGCTGTGATCGGCTCTGTTTTAAGACTTAGCGTGTTTCAGCGTACAGGCGGGAGATGCAGAGATCACTGAAACACATCGGGAGCACTCCAAAGGTCAGCCAGCGTTTATCAGTTACTTCTCCTTTCCCGTTCTTTCCCGTCCATGGCTTATGAGCTTTATCAGAGTGGTGTTTGGGTTATCAAGTGGACCGCTGATAAGGACACCTCAGGAATGGCTCTCAAAGGCACTTGGTCAGATTTCAGTTTGTCTACATTCTGCCTACAATGCAAGGCTGTACATTACGTAGTAGAAAAAGTGCGATGCGAAGGCATCGCTGACCCAGAAATCAGGACTGTCTTCCGTACGCTCCACCAGTGTGATCAAGGAGCCCAGTCACTGGTTTTCATGGCAGAACCAGACCTGGATCCTTTTACAGATCAATGCAAGAGGAAAAGCTCAGTAATTGGCAGGTGGTCGGCCACTTGACTTCCCAGCTCTTCTCTCAGCTTTCCCATGGAGGCTCCCTGAGGCGGTGAGAGGGGAGTATTGATGGTAGAATGGAGGTCTGGGCCTCTAATGTGGGTCTAATGGATTCTCTCTCTTGGGCTTTCTTATGTTGCATCCACGCCCCGTTCAGTTTCTGCCCTTCTCAGTTCTATGATGAATAGACGGTCACTGGCCTTTTAAAAGAAAACACTGTTGATGAGTAAATTAGCAGAAGAAACAGAATTGAAAACACCATGTATTGCCTAGCTAAGCATAACTTACAGAACTCTGTTTTATAATATAATATATATATATATATTGCATTTCATTTGTTATTATTCACATCAGTTTTTTCTACTAATTACTAAAAATTATTATACTATGATTTTATAAATGACATAGCAATGTATATTACATTTTAAAGTACTGTCTGTCTGTCTGTCTGTCTGTCTGTCTGTCTGTCTGTCTGTCTG